AACTTTAATTTGATCATAATTTGAAAATATATTTAATATAAACTCCAAATATTTAAGTTTATTTATGGTCTGATATACTCAAATATCTGAGTTTATAAACTCAGAAAATATGAGGCAACTGATTGCCTTACATTTTTTGAGTTCTGCCTACTTATTCGGGTTTACAGTGTACGAACTGTAAAGATTTTGTGTTCACCTAACAGTTCAAGTGTTCATTTTTTGCTTTGTGTGTTCACAGGGCATGCTCAGTTGAAGTTTCCATCTCTGCGCGTTCAAGATGTAAGAAAAATAATACGAAAGAAATGCAACAATGAAAACTTCAAAAAGGCATCAACAACCAAGCAAGTGGATCCATAAAATGGACTGATTTTTTAAAGGCATTTTTAAAAAGTCTTTCAAAATGGACAGAATTAACGCGTCATGTTCAGAACAGTTTGCGTTCTCATCTTTGATTAATCCTGGTAAACAGGTCTGTTTTTGTTCTGTTCTAATTCTCTCTGTTTAATAAATTTAAACAACATGACTTAGCTATTTTATTTAATTTTTTTTATCTCTGCATAAAGACGAAGTATCAGTAAATAGTGGAAATTAAATGTATTGGTAGTAAGCAAATAGCAGATGTTAAATGTTACTTGCAGTATGTGTTTATAGAAAAAATAGAGATACTTAAATGTACTAAAAGAATATTACGTCAAGTTTACTGTAAAGTGTACTTTCAAAACTGTAAGTATACTCAATTATATAAGAAGTACACTACAAGTAAACATATTATTACTTTAAGTATAATTTTAAGTATACATTCAAAGAGAAAAGTATACTCAATTATTTCAGAAGTACACTACAAGTAAACTTATAATGTTACTTAAAGTTTATTTTTAAGTATACTTTCAAGGGCAAAAGTTTACTCAATTTTATTAGAAGAAAACTTATACTGTTACTTTTAAGTATACTTTCAATGAGAAAAGTATACTCAACTATATCAGAAGTACACTACAAATAAACTTAAATTATTACTTTGAAGTATACTTGCAGTATACTTCAAGTATACTTTTAGTGGCCCAATTTAGTCCCAAGGAGTATACTTCTAAGTAAACTTTAAGAACAAGTATGCAAATAAACTTCTGTACACTTAAGTATACTTGAAATTATATACTTAAAGTATACTTCTTTTTCGTAAGGGTTGGTATCTTTTTTAGCAGTTTTTAAAGAGCAAGTCACATCAAAATCAACTTATTTTAGCTGATAACTAGTATAAATGAGTGTCTAATAGTGTTGTAGACATGTGTAGTTATTATTTTTGCATTTTGATGCGTTTTCTTTGAAATCTAAATTCTGTCAACAAACATCAGTCTAGCACCATCTTCAGCTCAAAAGTATAGAACACCTTTATTTTGAGTCGGTTTTAGCCAATGGCTAACGAGAACAATGCTACGTATTTCAGAAAAGTACTACGTAGCAGCTCGCCGCGGCCTCAACCAGCCTTGTAGCACGCGGGGCTCGTAAGTGAGTTGTGCTGTTGTTAGCATTAGCATTGTGCCAGAGTCCCAGCAAAACTTCTAGTATTAAAATTATTTAGTTCGAGGAGCTTGGCTGTTAGATTTTGTAGTTTAGAATTCTTTTACATCAGACTCTTTCACCAACTTGGTGGAGCATGAACCAGTTATGCTGGTTTGAAGAGCATTTCACGAATTAGTCCAAGCCGTTCCAGTAGTTAGCCGGATCCCGCCGACTGCCGCTTCCCCAAAAACGAAGATTTTGGGCCCAATCTGAGGCGAGTAAGCTAAATAATTACTTTTAACAGCTTCTAAAGATCGTTCTCTGACTGTAATTTTGCAGCTATTATTGCTATATTTCTAATTACAAAGTAGGAGAGACGTGGACGGGGTTCACGTAATCTAGACAATCAGCAGGCAGCCGCAGGCTCGAAGCAAGTGTTGTGTGTGTTATAATGTCACAGACTGGTTTGGGTTGAGTTTTTGTACCAGTTAGTAATATCAGCGCTGATGCAGTGCAGGAGGGACACTGACGAGCAGCTCCTCCTTCTGCTAAAAAGCTGACCCGGTTCTGAACTGGTGCTGAGTCTGGTTCTCATTAGAACATGTCTGATTCTGGACACTGAGTTAGCTCTGAGAGCAGTCAGATCACTCACCAACCGTGTTATAAAGCACATATATTAGACAATTTGTTTTGTACATGATCTAAGTTACTAAACTCCCACAACAAGGTGATGTTATATTTTTCAAGCTAAATCTGCCCAAGACGGATGAAGTCCTCCAGCCTGCGACCGGCCCAGGCTAGAATCTTGCGGTGAATTATTTAACCAACTGTCTTTCTTTACCTTCTAGTTTTAACATTATGTAATTGTTTTAGCTTATTGTTACACGTGTGTTGCTGCTCTTAAAACTATAACTATATTTGCTGTTTTTTAATATTTCACATCAGGGCCGTGCAGAGACCTTTGACGGGGCGGGTGCTCAATGTAAAAAAAGGGGCACTTATAGAGCAATCCAACAAGTTAGAACATTCAGATAATGAGACCCTTGGGTTCAAACAACATAATAAAAATATATCAATTAGTGTCATTAGTGTTAATGTTGGTTCATAAATACTAGTTTTAGTTTTTAAAGCTGACATATCTAGAGATGTTACAACCACAGTTTTGCCCCTGATCCGAGTCCAAGTTGTTTGATTTTTTTATTATCTTCCAATACTGAGTCCTGTTCTGATACCAGGTGGTGATGCAATGCATTATAAAAGAAGAAAGAAGTTGTCCTTCTGTCTGTATTTGTCATTTTGTTATTTTAGCCTGAAAAGGTCACTCATTCAGGAAGTACATTTAACAGAAATCAAGATAATTTGTTGCTATTGCACAGGTGTACAACCAAATATATTTTGCACCTACTAAAGACAGCTCTAATAAGAGGTAGTAAAATAAATGTAAAATGAATGCAACCACAGAGAGTTATCCATTGTGATCTACAGCTATGCTGGCTGAGATCTTTTTCCTGTCAGTAGAAAATTCTTCCCATTCCATGATCTCACTGAACTTAACACTAAACATGAGAGCTCTGCTACCAACCTAACAACAACATCCTTTGGGCAAAGGCACCATCATCCCATATGTGGCAGCGGTCTCAGAGAAACTTAGAAGAATCTTCTCCAAACACAAAATCCCAGTAAACTTTAAACCCAACAACACCCTCAGACAGAACCTGGTCCATCCAGAAGACAAAACACCCAAACAGAAGCTCAGTGGGGTCGTTCATGCAGTCCAGTGTGGTGAGGACTGTCCAGCAGATGTTTACATTAGAGAAACTAAACAACAATTACACAAGAACATAACACAACACAGGAGAGCCACCTCTTCAGGTCAAAACTCTGCAGTCCACCTTCACCTGAAGGACAAGGGACACACCTTTGAAGATGACAAAGTCCACATTCTGGACAGAGAAGATAGATGATTTGAGAGGAGTAAAATAAGCTATCTATGTCAAAACGTGAAAACCCCACTTTAAATAGGGGCGGGGCTTAGATTTCACCTTTCCATTACCAATAATGCAGCTTTGAATCTCATTCAGTTTCAGTCAAGGTCACACCTTCCTGCATATAATCAACACAATGACTCACCATCAATAGAGGCCAACGACTCATCAGGAGATGGAGAGGCGGGGTACTCAGAGTAGTTTCTGCTCTTTAAATAACAACAGACCGCTACAGCTTATAAGCTTGGCTCTCCCATACAGGGGGGCTGCCAGAGATTTTGGGCCCCATGAAAAAATATCAAGTTGGGCCCCCTGGGGGCTCGTCCATAGCTGGAGCTGGGGTTCCACCCTCCCAGATTCGAAGGGAGAAAAAAATATAATATATATATACTTTATATTAGTGTTTCAGTTTTGCTTAATTATGTAGGTCTACATGCATTCTTACTTATTTACATATCATTTTCATTGGCTGTCCCATTAAACAGTGAATTTCATTCAACAGAATTAGCAATATCACTGCTGGAAAAAGCAGGAAATGCACATGCTGAAAGGTGTTAATCTCCTTTTCCCTTTTACTCCCTTAAAATGTGTTTTATTTATTCTAAAATTTTATTTGATGATAAAATTCAAATTTGGATATCTAATTAAATTTCCATGTTGTGTCAAAGCTTTACATAACTACATTTTCAGCGTTCTTTCCTCTTGAAATCAAGTATTTCTGTATGACTGACAAAAATTAAGGATTCATCGCTGACAAGGTGACTTCTTTATTAAGTCTCCATGGCTTCATCATAGACACAAAATGAATAAGCACGCAGTTCAAACCGGAGTCAGTTAGGGTTACATAATTTTTTTAAGTTTGCATGAATACGTATATACTTTGTCCTGACCAAACCTGACATTGGGAAGGTCCAGGCTCTATACATAATGAAATTGATATATGTATTACAATATAGGCTATCATTTGTGACAAAATCTTTATCCAAGTTACAACAGTCTTTAAAATTAATCCACAACAGGTGGCGGGATCCGGCTAATTACTGGAACGGCTTGGACTAATTTGTGAAATACTCTTCAAACCAGCATAACCCGGTTCAAACTCCATCAAGTTGGTGAAAGAGTAACATGTAAAAAACACTTAACTACAAAACCTAACAGCCAAGCTACTAGAACTAAATAAGTATAATACTAGAAGTTTTGCTGGGACTCTGACACAATGCTAATGATAACAACAGCACAACTCACTTGCGGCTAATCCGAGCTGACTGCTACAAGAATGGTTGAGACCAGTTGAGACTGCAATGCTTTTATAAGCTACAGCCGCAGAGCTGCTACTTAGTACTTTTCTGAAATACGTAGCATTGTTCTCATTAGCTATTGACTAAAACCGACTCAAAATAAATGCTTTATACTTTTGAGCTGAAGATGGCGCTAGACTGACGTTTTTAGACAGAATTTAGAGTTTTCAAAGAAAATGCATCAAAATGCAAAAATAATAACTACACATGTCTACAACACTATTAGATACTCATCTATACAGGTTATCAGCAAAAAAAAAAAAAGAAGTTAATTTAGGCGTTCCTTGATCTTTGATGATAACACCTCATGAGAGAGGTACTGTAATGTCCCACCATGCAATGATAATATTTTCATCCATCCATCAGTACCTGTGTCCATGCTGTCCAGGTCCAGGTGGTGAAGAACAAACGATGAATCAGTCCCAGCTGATGGATGATCCTGAAGTGGTAGCAGGCTTTCTTTACAAATGCATAAATCTGGCTTTCTTATAGTTTAACAAATTAGAAACTATGTTTAATGCAATCTGCTATTAGTGTATGATAATCCAGTACCGGTGTGAAGAGTGTGGGTGTTGTAGTTGTTGAGCTAGGCATAGGCGTCATTTTAACCAGGGACGCCGGGGACATGTCCCCGGCAAAATTTGTGATTGGCAGCTGTGTCCCCCCCACTTTAAAAAAAGCCTGCTGATGAGGATTTTTGTTTTACCAGCTCAGATCTTATACCAGGGGTCGGCAACCTGTTCCCATCAAAGAGCCATTATTACCCGTTTCCCACGGTAATTTTGGATGGACCTTAATAAGCAGTGACTTAAGTGAAGCAGGCTGTCATGGTCTGTGGTGAGCTGTCAGCCTGTAACCATGTTTTCTCCTGAGTACTGTTTTCACAGGTGGGCGTGTCTGAGAGCTCCCAGCTGCAGCTGATCTCACCATCAAGGTCCAGGGGATTTAAGGAGCAGTGTGACACTTCACCACGCCGGATGATTACTCTTTTGGGTAGCTCTAGCCGCCGACCCGACCTTGACTTTGTATCTATAGCGCCAGTGCCCTATACACTGGCACTACCTACTACTATCTTTGCTCTGATTAACCTGACGTCTGAAAACCCCCTTGATGCCCTTTCCTGCTCTCCTCCAGGTTCCTCACAATCTCTCACCAGCTCCAGAACAAGACCCGGATCTCAGCCTGCCTGACACACTGCTTCATCCCCTGGCCGCCCGCTCTCAGCCGCTCACCTTCCAACGTCCATTCCTGTTCCTACACCTCTGGACAAAACAATATCCTTACCTGTGGATCTCCTCAGCTCACCCGGACCTAGCAACCTTCCTGTACAAATACCACTACCTAGAAACAGTAAGACCAGTCTTTCCGACAACGTTTCCATTTGTTTTCGCCTCATATTCACTCTGTCTCCCTCCTTAGAATCTCCCCCCTGGATTCCTGCTGCCAGTCCTGCGTCTCGTCTGCTCCCGTCTCTCACATCGCTCTTTATGTAGAAATAAAAACCTTTTTACTTACTTTCTTGTTCTCCGTATGGTGATTCTGCATGTCGTGGGTCAAGAAACTTCCTCCTGCCATGACACAGGCAGGTCGCGCTAGAAAATTTCGTTTAAAAAGATGTCATAAATGTGTTCCCCCGTCCTTTTTATTTATAAAATATGAAGTAAAAACTCACAATTTAATTTTTATTCATTTGGCATTAATATTTAGTCTACACCCGTGCGTTAAGTGGACCATCTTCCAGTAAACGCAAAGCATCCAGCCCATCTCTCCAAATGCGTAAAATGTGCATCAGCCGCTAGTTAGGCGCGCCGCGCGCACCATCAGCTACGCCAGCCCAGACAAGAGCAGAGCAAATAGAGAAAGAATAGAGGATAATTGTGTCTGGATGTGGATGGAGATTACATTTTACAGCAGCCTGATCATCATTTAAATACGTAACCCATCACCTGGCTTCTAGTCCACGCTATCAGCATTATTTTAATTGGTGTGTGTGTGTGTGTGTGTGTGTGTGTGTGTGTGTGTGTGTGTGTGTGTTTGTTTTCCACTTCAAACACTGGTCTAACCAACCAGACCAGCGTGTCCAGTAACGTATTAATGTTACAATTAAACAGTTTCACTTCATGTAGGCTAGGAACGTTTCACCTGCCGTGGCCCGACCGCTTCTGCTCCACATAAACTTTGTGCGTGATCAAATGTCTCTACGCGTCATGCGTCTCCATATTAGAGACGGGAACAAGCGCTGTTCAGCCAAAGTTTCATAATTTCATAAAAAGAACATTTTTCCAAGTGACACATCCCTCAGAGAGACCGGGTTTCCAGACCGCTTCAGTGGGAGGAAATCTAATCGCATGCGCCGTGGTTCTGCACTGCAACACCCCAGATCTTCAGCTCACTGTCCACCGTGGGCGCTCCGAGCCGCACTGAACACAGTGTCCAGTATAAAGCTCTGATGTTCTGATGGGAATATTTTACCTCCGCAATGTGCGTTAACGATTAAAATGTCAGCTCATCATGCGCATCAGTGTGCGTCGGGGTAATTATTTCAAACCAAGCAACATCCTTGAGTTCATCTGTCAAAATAAACAGTCAAATGGAAATATCTGTAACCTGCCGTTTAACTGTTTTGCCTTCCTGTGAAGATTGTTGCAAAGAGAAACAATTAAACTTGATTAACCCCAGAGCCACCCAGAGCGCATGCGGGAAGATTCCTCCCACTGAAGCGAGTGTTTTCCAAACCCTGTCTCTCAGAGAGACTTGTCACTTAGAAAATGTTCCCTGATGATGAAACTTTGGCTGAATAGTGCTTGTTCCTGTCTCCAATGTGGCGACACATCCAGGAGCCGTCTGAGGAGAATCCCAGAATCTCACATACTCTTCAGCTCAGAAAGTGCCTATATGATTACGCACAAGCGTGACCCGTCAACCCGGTCTCACAGTAAGACCAGGTTGGACCTGTTCAGGTTTACGCAGACAATCTTTACATTTAGAATTGGCATAAGTGTGTAAAATTAATGCAGTAAAATATAAAGCATTTTATTTAAATATCCATTCATTATTTTACAAACACAGAGAGCCGCATCCGATGGATGGAAGAGCCGCATGCGGCTCCAGAGCCGCGGATTGCCGACCCCTGTGCTAGCCTACTTTATTGTCCCCAGCAATTTTTAAACCCCACTCAAGTGTATGGTTATTGTCCCCAGCAATTCTGAAAACAAACTGACGCCCTTGGAGCTAGGGCAGATTAAAGTAGGTCAGAGTTGAGAAAAATTGGGTGTAATCGCCCTTTAGCCATTTCCCGAATCGGAAGCAAACTGCAGCCTCGTCAAAACGAGCGCGCTTCTCAGAGAGGCCAAAGGAACAGCAGCAGATCCAGAGGGCAGGAAGTCTAGAGAAAAGCTTTTCTGACCCACAACCTGATTCTGGAGCTCCGATTGTCACGAAGACCGCAGAATATCTTCTCTGGTTCTGGAAAGAACTCCACCAAGTGTTTGAGGAGGAGAAGAAAGTTTCCACAGCCTGGTGATAAGATTTCTGCAGCAGCAGCAGTTAGTCGCTCTAGCTGATCAACTCTCCCAGAGACTGAAGTGAAGACATTTTTACTGCAGGGCCTCAAATATTCTCCTCGCACACCAGAACAACAAGCTAGCTCTGCTAGCAGCTTCCGGTTTCTGCTTTTTTCCGGTGGTCGGTGACCAGCGTAAAGGTGTACTAGCGCCACCTGCTGGAGCTTAATAAAACACACCTGTGTGTTCAGAATGGGACTAATAAAACACATAACGTGATATCTTCCCCAAACAATTACTTAAAGTAAAGACAAGTTAGTTTTACACCTGATATAATCATTTTGTTTTTTACTCCATTTTTATTTTAATGTTGTTTGTTTTTATTTCATCAGTTTTTCTTTGATGTAAAGCTAATTATGTGTCTGTTGCTGCTGCCTCTTGGCCAGATCATTGTTGTAAATGAGAATGAGTTCTCTATCGGCTCATCTGGTTAAATAAATAACATTTTAAGTTGTTTCTTCAAATGCACTGACAAACAAGTAAAATAATTTTCCTTATTGACGTTTCATTATCTAAATGCATTTTATTTACTTATTTTTATATTCTTTATTTAACCAAGGTTCCATTGAGATTAAAATTCTCATTTTTGAGGGAGCCCTGGCCAAGAGGCAGTAAAAGATACAATCACAACACTTTTGTTACAGTTATGTACAAAATTATAGAAGGCAGTTACAACCAGGGGCGTGGGACAAGAACTATGCCAAAAGTTGCCTTATGTTGCAATCAGCACACTTTATTTTCCACATGCATTAGGAGAGATTCTGCCACCCTCAGTCCCTGTGACAAATCTGAAGATTTTACAAGATGTATACCTTTTTATTCTTCCTCTCATGGTGCAAAGTTTCATGTTGACCCCTCCCTAACTTTATTGAAGGCCATCACCTGTTGCCTTGGTAACTGACATCTCTGCTTTCACTCCCTCCTCCAGATAAGATGGGAGACACATTGCCCCATCTGCTTCCTACCCTATCTTCCTTTGCTAAGGCTGCAATGACATACGTCCTGGCCTTTTCCCTTTGAACAGCTTTTAGATGATCTAGTCTGCACCTGGCCTGCGCCTGTTGAGAGTCTCCTTCAGCACAAGCTGAAACCTAGCAGTATAAGCCTGCATAAATCAGCTATAGGTCTAACTCAGTGCTAGGCTGTACCAGTCACAGGTGAGTCATCCATTTGGTATATGCCATCGCCCTGATGCTGCACACAACACTTAGCCTCCTAGAGACCAGAGGAAGCTACGTCAGGATGCTCTTTGTTGACTTCAGTTCAGCATTCAATACCATCATCCCAGACATTCTTATCTCAAAACTGCTGAGCCTTCAGATCCCTCCCTCCACCTGCCACTGGATAAAAGACTTTCTCACAAATCGACCACAGCATGTTAAACTTGGCTCCCAGCTCTCCTCCTCCATCCTGCTCAGTACTGGCTCTCCTAGGGGCTGTGTGCTGAGCCCCCTACTGTACACTCTGTACACATCGGACTGTACCGCATCCCACCCATCAACTGCCATCTTTAAGTTTGCAGATGACACCACTGTGGTCGGCCTCATCACAGACGGAGACGAGGCAGAGTACAGGGCAGAGGTCAGTAATCTGTCAAGGTGGTGCTCAGATAACAACCTCACTCTGAACATACAAAAAACAAAAGAGCTTATTCTGGATTTCAGAAGACACAGTCACACACGCACGCCCCTCTCCTCATAAATGGAGAGTGTGTGGACCGTGTCCCCTCCATCAGGTTCCTCGGCACCATCATCTCTGCTGACCTGTCCTGGTCTGCCAACACCAGAGCTCTGGTTAAAAAGGCTCAGCAGTGGCTGCACTTTCTCCGGTTCTTGAGAAGGTGTGGCCTGGATCAGAAACTGCTGCTGGCTTTCTACCACTGCTCCGTGGAGAGCACCTTCACCTATTCTCTGAGTGTGTGGTATGCAGGCTCCACTGCTGAGGACAGGAAGGCTGTTCAGAGGACAATAAACACTGCCCAGAAGATTACTGGCTGCACCCTGCCATCCCTGGAGGCCATCTCCAGAACCCGCTGCCTGAAGAGAACCGCTGCTATCCTCCGTGACCCCACCCACCCTGCCCACTGCCTGTTTGAACTGTTGCCCTCAGGGCGCCGCTTCAGGTCAGTTAAATCACACACCACCAGACTTTCCAACAGCTTCTTCCCTTGGGCCATCAGAACATTCAACACAACAGCACCATTCAGCCCCCACATCCCCATCAGTAATGTGGACTAATCTGTTTTAAATCATTTTATTGTATTAGCAGATCTGAATCACTGGTTGTACTTTCTTGTTGTTTGCTAAATGTTTTTAAATTGTTTTTAGTCCTTTATGGCTTTTGACATTTATTGTCATTTATTGTCTTGTGCACTGTTGATGGCGGACCATCTGTAATTTAATTGCCATGAGCAATTACAATAAAGTCTATTCTCTATTCTCAGTTCAAAGGGACGTGAGTAACACCCAAACATTGAAATTTTTAATATGGGGATTAACATACATGTGATTCATTACACTCAACAAAAATATAAACGCAACACCTTTGTTTCTGCTCTGATTTTTCATGAGACTGACTTAAAGATCTAAAATTCATTCCAGATACACAATATTACCATTTCTCTCAAACATTTTTCACAAATCAGTCTTAATGTGTGATAGTGAGCACATGTGCTTTGCTGAGATAATCCATCCCACCTCACAGGTGTGCCACATCAAAATGCTGACATCATGAGTAGTGCACAGGTGTACCTTATACTGCCCACAATAAAAGGCCACCCTGGAATGTGCAGTTTTGTCCCTTCTTTCCCTTTTGTATCTAGAGCTCCGGTGAGTTTTATTGTTTTGAGATCGGTGAGAGCTCCTATTACAGGAGAACCTGCGTTAGTAGGTCAGTGACCACAGTCGTGGATTCCATAGGTACCAGTGTGGACCTAGATCCCTCTGCATTGGGTAGAAGACCCTCCATCCTGGACTCATGTGTTAGTGCATTACACACCCGTTGGTATTATTTTTCACAGCCAGCGCTGGTGATCCAAGATGAAACAAAGCTTGTTCAGTCGCTCTGATTAAGCAAACCCTCTCTGCAGACTGTCTCTAGACGAGGGCCCCCGATTTGTCCCCAGTCATGGGTTCTATACCTTAAATGTTGTCAGCTCTAGGTCATCACCAAAAAGCTCCAATCACAGTGCGTGTTATACATTTGTCATTTTTTATCACGCCTGTTTCTGCTGCAGATCTTATAAGCACACTCTGTCTGTTGAACATGGCTTTTAACACACTCCAAAAAAAAAAACTGTCACACAGGCTAGTCCATGAGATGTACAATGGTTAATAAACACACATAAATATATTAATTATCACCACCTCCATTTGAAGTTTCAGTTCCTCTTTTACTCTGCAACCGTGCACGACTCATTTCCCCTTTTATTATTCTGAGTTCATTCTTTCACACCTAGTTCCTATTTGACCTGAGGGGACTTGATAACGTTGTTGCTTTCTGCTCCTTGTTTCTTGGCCCGAGCAGTGTGTAGCCTACTGTTCACCCAAGACGAGGCGATGTTTGACAGAAACTACTCTGGGTACCCCTCCTCTCTACCCCCTGATGAGATGCTGGCCTTCATTGAGAGGGAGTCGTTGTGTTGATTGGATGCAGGAAGGTGTGTCCTAGACTGAAACTGCTTAGGAATGAGATCCAAAGCTGCATTATAGGTACTAGAAAGGTGAAATCTAAGCCCCTCCCATATTTAAAGTAGGGTTTTCATGTTTGGCATAGATAGCTTCCTTTACTCTTCTCTCAAGCCATCTATCTTCTCTGTTCAGACTAGTGTGGAGATTGTCATCTGCAAAGGTGTGTCCTTGTCCTTCAGGTGTAGGTGGACTGCAGAGCCTTGACCTAAAGAGGTGGCTCTCCTGTGTTGTGCCATGCGTTTGTGTAATTGTTGTTTAGTTTCCCCGATGCAAAGATCTGGACAGTCCTCACTACACTGGACTGCATAAACAACACCACTGAGCTTCTGTTTGTGTGTTTTGTCTTTTGGATGGACCAGTTCCTGTCTGTTTAAAGTTTACTGGGATGTTGTGTTTGGAGAAGATTCTTCCAGTTTCTCTGCGACTCCTGCCATGTATGGGATGACGGTGCCTTTGCACCTTTCTTTGCTGGTTGCTGTTTTGGATGCTTTTCCAGACTTCTTTGTAGATTTCACAAAGGCCCAGTTAGGGTTTCTGCAGTTCTGGAGAGCTTTCTTGATGTTTTTCTTCCATTTCTTTTACTTCAGTCTTTGTGGGAATGTTCTCAGCCCGATGGTGTAAAGTCCTGATGACTGACAGGGCAACATGCTAGTGAAGGTTCTCAGTCATCAATGACCTGGCTGACTGAGAACCTTCACCAGCATGTGGCCCGACACTTTGGGAAAGACCCTTGGAATTGTAAGGGGATATGAGTGGACATGAAGGAAGCTGGCTGACTACAGACACCACCTGTTTCAACCTGAGATGTCGACAACAAAGTCTCCTTCCAAAAAGCTTGAGACTAGAAGTACTTTTAAAGGACACAGAGCAGAAGAGATTCTTCATAAAGCACAACAGCTGCTAAACGAATGGCTAAAACAGACCCATTTATCCAAATGCCACACATAGAAGCCCTTACCCACATGATCTCCAATATCACAGAGAAGCTTTCAGAACTTCTCCCTAGCACAGTGTTAGAAGAAGTTTCCAACTTCACTGAAAAGGCTCAGCTAGCGCAGCACAGGAAAAGCAACGAACGGCAACAACGCAAATTCTCAAAACTAAAGCCAAAAACATCAGAAATGACTGGATCGCCACCAGAGGACACCAACCGGATAGATGTCCAGGACCAGTGGGAGAAGAACTTATGACACAGAATCTTCACACAAACAGAGAAGGGTGTCCTAACTAAAGGACTCAATTTCACCATTTCTCCATAACACAACCCCACAGTAGACTTCATCACTGCCACAGAATCTGCAATAAGAACAACAACCTGAATGTGGTAGGACAAACAAGTTGGTTCATGGAGATTTGACAAGGTGGATGAAATTCTGGTGATTGTGGGGCGGGGCATGCTGCCTTCATAAGAGGCAGATACCTGCTACTCACACACAGCTCTCTGATTCCAATCCTCAGCACAGAGCTTCGCACGCAACCTTGACGACGTGTCAAAGATTGCTCTTGGTTAAAGAGTTCCACTACGGATAGCTTCCTCGGTTTTAAACACCTTCCGTTGTGTTAAAGCTTTCAAAATAAGTTTTTACCAGGTGTTTTTAGTCAGTAGAATGTTTTTAGCCTTTTATCAACTTCAGGATTTTAAAACACCTTAGTTGCGGTAAAACTTTTAATAAAGTTTTTACCAGGTGTTTTATAGCTGATAATTTGCTTTGTAATGTTAACCGTTTAGAGAAATCAGTTTTGCTTGTGTTTTTAATACCTTTTTGTACAAATAAACCCATTTTAAACTCCTCCACCAGTTCTTATGTTACCCCCATCCTTCACATTTTTACCAACACATGTCGGGGATGTGACACATATGTAAACCACATGCTATTATCACATGTTATCTGCAACTCTTAGCTTCTAACAGAATACTGCCAGGCTGTCAGCATGGCAGTAAATAAATCAAAAATCTGCATTAGGAACAACAATCAACAACCAAGTAGTAAATGTAAGCGCCGTCCTGACATTCACAGACCTGCCAACCTTGTCAAAATAAATTTAAGTAGCACTTGTGCGGTGTTTTTTTTTTTTTTTTTGGTGGACTTTTGCAACTCAATTGCTTTTCTAATCTAATCTCTAATCTAATCTAATCTAATCTCCCCAGTCACTGGATGTAAAATTTTATACACACACACACACACACACACACACACACACACACACACACACACACACACACACACACGTACTTTACCTAGCCAGAACAGCAGCGAGTGGTGAACCGGAGGGAGAGAGCAGCGGGCAAGGCGAAGCAGGGAAGAGGGGAGCGGGAGTGTTACGCTATAGGCTAGGCAGGATAGCTCTGGTTGTTCTCTGCTTTTCTATGATGATTGGCTTAAACTTCTTCACCGTGCCGCTGAGTCGTGTTGTCAGATATGAGTACCACACGTGCATATTTGCCACAGAACTCAACTCACGTATCCGCAGCTTTTTGCGTAGTTTAGAGGGGTGAGTCGTACCAGCTTAAATAGATGCCAAATTGCATACTGGCTACGCAAAATGCGTACAGGTTTGCAGGTCTGCATTCATGTTTAGCCTCGTTGGAGCCTGTGGTTAACTTTCAGTCAGCAGGATGCAAACTGGATACATTGACCTGACAGCATCTGGTAAGAGAGGGAAAAAAGAGACATTAACACCAAATCTATATAAAGCCTCAATTTTAAACCCCAAAATATGTTAAATATATTCAGTGCATTACTACATAAAGTTCTCATCATGCAATTTTATTTCATTCATGTTCTTGATACCACCACATTTGTCAAGTTTAGATAAACAAGCGTATCACTGAACTGGTCCAACAACACAGATGCTCTGTATGAGAAGGGCCAACGCCGCCTCCTTTGAAGTTAATTTCCATCTGCTAAAATCCATTTATCTCTCTGTGGTTGGCTCTGTTATCCACTCTGCTGTGGTCTGTTGGGGTGCAGGCAGCTCTGACCGAGACAGGAAGAGACTGAACAAGCTAGTTCACAAAGCTAGCTCGTTACTGGGCTGCCCACTGGATTCAGTTGAGGAGACATGTGAAAGGAGGATGCTGGGGAAGATGAGCTTGATGTTAAACAAACCTTCCTACCCTCTGCATTCTACTTTAGAGGCCATGGACAGCTCCTTCAGAGGCAGACAGACATCCCAGATGTAAAATAGAACACTACCGTAGGTCATTCAACCCCTCTGCTGTATAACTCTTCAGTCTGTACTGGCATTATCCTGTTACACAATAACATCAATGCAATACTCAGTATAATAATCATCAAACTTATAAAGCGCTTGTTTAGGACACTCAGACGCTTGCATGCACTCTCACATTCACACACTGCTAGTGATGGTAAGCTACTTTGTAGTCACAGCCACCCTGGGGAGGTCTGACAGAGGTTAAGCTGCCATTTGGTGCCGTCGGCCCCTCTGACCACCACCAACACAGGCAAGTTGGGTGAAGTGTCTTGCCCAAGGACCCAACAGCAGAATACCTCTGGCAGGAGCTGGAATCAAACCCATGACCTTCCGATCATGAGGCAACCTGCTCTACCACCTGAGCTACTGCTGCCCCATGTATGTGTTCAATACTTGTGCAACACCGGATTTACAAAGTATGTCTGTGTCCCTTAGAGTATGCTGTAAAGTGTTGAAACCAAAGTTTTTCATTTTTATTTGTGGTTTTTAGTGGTTGAAGGTTACAATACTAGCTTACTGCATGTGTGTATACATGTACATTTGTTGTTTTCCTTCAAATTATTCTCAAGTGTTGGTGCTGCTGTAACAAGTGAATTTCCCCACTGTGGGATCAATAGTCTATTCTATTCCAATTGTCATTACCTAAACTCAGACGAACCCAAATGTAGGGGACTGCAAGATGCCAGACTCCATGTACTCCACAAAGATGTTGTAGGTCGGGTGAACAGGCAGCCGCAGGATCACTTCACATGTGTTTGCCTCTGGGAAGATGCAGCGGTTTCCATGTTCCACATGCAGAAACTCAGTCCCAGGCCTGTGTGAAAATACAAGTGGCGGGATGGTGTCCACACCAGAGGCAAATGTTAATATTTGCCCTAGTGTCACTGGCCGTGTTCCCTCTGAAGAGAGAGACAGAGAGAGAGAGAGAGAGAGAGAGAGAGAGAGAGAGAGAGAGAGAGAGAGAGAGAGAGAGAGAGAGAGAGAGAGAGAAATCCCTTGTGTATTTGTCAAAGTACGATTGTGTCGCCCACTGCAAAGACTAGATTCTTGCATATGGAGGTAAAAGGCTAAGTTAAACAGTTGTCTTCATCATTGTTGCTCTTCTTTAGATTAACAATCGGCTCCCACCCCATTTCTTGTCTCTAAAATGCCAGCACTGAGACATTATTGCTAGGGACAAATCAAAGGAGGGTTTTACAAACAAGTGTGTGCAGTTCACACACATAAATAATAATCCTTCAAAATGACAGTAGAACAGGCACAAATATGATCTAGGACTTAAATGTACTAACTTTTAACACCAGAGCAGGCGTGGCATATTCTGAGAATGATCAGGAACACTAACTGGTTCCAGTTGGATGACTGGAGGATGATGGGAAGATAAAAGATCATGGCGAGGAAATAATTATCTGACGAACAGGTGAGCGGACCTTCCTTACATGGGAAGTCCTGCTGTCATGTTAAGAAGGGGATGCTACAGACCCGCAGATTCACGTCTGCAGCAGCAAATCTGGTGTGATCTCCAGCCTGATCACAACTTTCCCGTTCCTCGCTGCCCCTGATACACTTAAGCATCCGCCCCTTAGCTGATGACAGCTTCAACACACCTCGCTTCTTAATGATAGTAATGCATGTGATGTTTAGACAGAGGCTCGTCTCAGAAAGATATAATTCCCCGACAGAATTGTTTAGAAAATCATCAGAAAACTTTCAGAGTGTTTCTGTTTTAACTTAAACTTCTGTTTTCAACTTTAAGACACGTTGTTTGTGATTGTTTACAGAGTAGTGAGAACACTGAGCGTTCTCCCAGCGGCAGCCAGGTGCCTCTCGTTTGTCTGACTACTTTCATAAACTACTGTTAGGGCACAGAATTATTCTGTCTGGTGCTTTCAGCGCTGCACAGATGTTACGTAAATGTTAGAAATATAGCTTACAGCAACTTTTGTAAAGTTTCCAGTGCCACCAGGCAGCTGCAGCAGTATCGATCTCTGAAAAATGTCCGCGACACGAACTCCGTTGTTGTCTGGAAGTTTTTTTTCCCAAGTTAAGAAAAGAGGCGGACGTGTTTCCTAAATCCTGCATCAGTCCAAGCAAGACAACTTCTTGCTGTTTTTATTCCGTTTCAGCAGCCATTAGCACTGTGCATTGTTGTGTGCATCAGTGATATTCGGTCTACAAGGAAGTTGTGCTATGACAAAGGTTCCGCCTTGCTCGAAATGCAAGCTACGATTAAATGCGTGAATTTTTTTACGCGTTTTTTTCTAATTAATTAATCATAATCAACGCGTTAAAGTCCCGGCCCTTATATATATATATATATATATATATATATATATATATATATATATATATATATATATATGGCTCTATATATATATATATATTACTCTCCAGCGCACAGTGCCAGTTCAGGACCTCGGAGAGAGGCACCTCAGCGAAGATCGCAGCTGACCTGAATCAGTGATCAAGCAGCTCCCAGCTCCTTAAAAGAGGAGCACTACAGACAGTCTGGGAGATCCTGGATTAGCCGGAGATTCTCCTTAGCTCACGGACACTTTTGCTACCATTGCCAATCGGGTTTAAGGTTTACACCATTACCGTTTGGGTTTAAGGTTGCTGCTGGAGATCAGGACTAGCCTGCGATTCTCCCTCGCTCTTCGACGCTTTTTGCTCATTATTTGGTTAACGTTTTCTACTAAGGATCCAGGATTAGCCTGGGTTCCTTCTGAGCGTGTTTCACACGCCTTGCTAAGGATAAACCTTTTGTGTTGCTGACTACGGGTTGTTTTCCTAAGGGGTTGGGCTTAATTATCCTTTTTAGTGGGATTTAACTGACCTAGGGTCAGTTTTCTGGTTTCGGTGGCTTTTATCCCTGTTGGATTCCTGAGCCGGGGATATTTATTGTTTAGGTGGTTGTCATCTTAGTTTGGCAGAAAGCCTTTTCATAAGCCATTTGCTGCTTATGTTTTCAGTTTCCAACTTATTTTGCACCATTATTGTTAAGCCTTCTTTGCCGTTCAGACAGCGGACACTTTTTGTTAATAAATCCTTTTGTTTTTACTCAAACCTCCTCATCCTTTACACACCTACACCTATTTTCTTGTGTTAGTCCCCTCATCCTCCTAGACCTTCAGAGGGGGCGTAACACACACATATATATATATATATATATATATATATATATATATATATATATATATACACTGCTCACAAAAATTAAAGGAACGCTTTAAAGAAACACATTAGATACATCAGATCTCAATATGAAATACAAATAACGACAGGGCAATGTCTTAGGAACAAAAGGATGCCAAGTCTTTTAACGGAAATAAAAGTTATCAGCCTGCACATGGCTCAATTGTCTAGACACCCTAAAATCGGAGTGAAATGAAGATGTGGCAGGCTAGTCCATTATTTCACAAACTTAATTTCTGCAACTCAAATTGGTTTTCAGTATCTTGTGTGGCCCCCACGAGCTTGTGTGCATGCTTGGCAACATCGGGTGGTGTCTTGTGGCATTTCCTCCCAGATCTGTGTGATGGCATCCCTGAGCTCTTGTACAGTCTGAGGAGCAACCTGGCGCTGCCTAATGGACCGAAACATAATGTCCCACAGATGTTCTATTGGGTTTAAGTCAGGGGATCGTGAAGACCATTCAACTGTATCAATTCCTTCATCCTGCAGGTACTGCCTGCATACTCTTGCCACATGAGGCCGGGCATTGTCGTGCATTAGGAGAAAACCAAGACCTACTGCATTAGCGTAGGTTCTGACAAAGGGTTGCAGGCAGCATAACGTTCTCTTTGTCTTCTCCAGACTCGTTCACGTCTATCACAGGTGCTCAGGGTGAACCTGCTCTCATCTGTAAAAAGTACAGAGCACCAGTGGCGGACTTGCCAATTCTGGTGTTCTTGAGCAAATGCCAGTCGAGCTCTACGGTGCTGGGCAGTGAGCACAGGGCCCACTACAGTACGTCGGGCCCTCAGGCCACCTTCATGAAGTCTGTTCCTGATTGTTTGGGTAGAGACATTCACACCAGTGGCCCTCTGGATGTCATTCTGTAGGGCACTAGCAGTGCTCAGCCTGTTCCGCCTTGCACAAAGGAGCAGGCATCGGTCCTGCTGATGGGTTGTGGACCTTCTACGGCCCTGTCCAACTCTCCGAGAATAACCGTCAGTCTCCTGAAATCTCCTCCATGTTCTGGAGATTGTGCTGGGAGACACATTAAACCTTCTTGCTGCAGCACGTGTGGATGTGCCATCAAGGAGAAGTTGGACAACCTGTGCAACTTCTGTAGGGTTAAGGAATCACCTCATACTGCCAGTAGAGATAATTATTCAAGCCAAAACTAGCACGAGTGGAAAACCAGCCGAAAAAGATCAAGTGGGAGAAACTTGAAATGACCTCTGTATGTTAAACCAGTCCTGTTTTGAGGGTTTTGTAATCGTTGCTACTTTAGGGCACCTGTCGTTAAGTCTGTGAACACCAATACAGCTGAAAGTGAGTAACAATGCCCTCAGCTGCTTAATCAAGCAGGAAATTATCAGGCAGGTTTAACTGATTTCATGCCAGGCCCAATAAAATAAAAGTGTTCCTTTAACCCTTTAAGCGCCAAAGTCGCAGAATTGCGACAAGCAGCAATGTTGGATTTAATAAGCCACAGCAGCAGAAATGAGCCCTCATGCAGTTAACACATTACACTGCGGGGTGGCAGACACCTGTACCTTCAATCCAAGAAGCATTTGTGGGTGTGTTACTATTGAAACTTTTGGAGTATTTAGAACTTGAACCCTGCCCACCAGTCGCAGAGCAGCAGGGCTTGTCAGAGCAGTCAGATGAGTGAGAGCGAGCGAGTGGTAAAGGAAAAAAAACACAATGCCGAGAGGAATGTTCAGTGCTGACGAAGCTCTTCGTCTAGTACTGGCGGATTCGGATTCGGAGGAAGAATATTTCCTGTCCGAGGAGGTCTAGAGAGACGGAAAGTGCGGCTTCAGCGCACAGCAACAGAGAGTCCGTCAGCGACGACATGGTTACACAAGCAGCCCATCCAGCCCTTATCTTGTCCGATGTTCCGCGTCTGGCAAAGAGACGTGGCGGGGGGGCTTGTACCGGGTCTGATCCTTTGATCCACCATGCCAGGGGGGAGGGGGGATGTGGTGGCGGTGATCGGGCCGGTGAAAACTCAGCTGGTGATCAATTCAGCCCCTATCCATCCATCCGTCCGTCCGTCCGTCCGTCCATCCATCCATCCATCCATCCATCCATCCATCCATCCATCCATCCATCTATCTATCTATCTATCTATCTATCTATCTATCTATCTATCTATCTATCTATCTATCTATCTATCTATCTATCTATCTATCTATCTATCTATCTATCATCTATCTATCTATCTATTACACCCCTCTGTGGGCTCAGCTAAAAAGAAGAGGGGAATAAACATAAAATGGACCAGTTTAACAAAAAGTGACCCTTATTGGGGAGAAAAAGGCTTGACCAAGCAAAACCAAACTCAAAGTGTCCTTGTGTTTTCAAAGGTTTTATTAAAAAAAAGAAGAACCAAAAAGAAGGGGTCTAAAAACCCTTCCCAAGAAATTAACCAAGTTCTAATTTATTCATTAACTGAAAATGTCCAGAAGACCAACCACTCTATAAAACCTGAAATAAATCTCCTTTATTTTAAAAGGGAATGAACTCAAGAAGGGGCAAAAATCCCACCAAGTAGTTTAACCAAAAAGGTTTGTCTCAAAGACAACCCAAACAAAAGTACTAACCTAACTAAAGTTGTCCGAAATACCAAAAATGTGGCTCAGGAAACAAAGACTTCAAAAGGGGAAAACCCCACCCGGTAAATTTACCAAAGATGGTCCAGAGGACTCATCAAACCAAACATTAC